GCTTTTGCTTTGTCTGAGATCAGGATTGCTACCCCTGCTTTTTTTACTTCAGCTGAGCATAATATATTCTGCTCCAGCCTTTTACCTTTACCCTGTATGTGTCACTCTTTTTCAAATGTGTTTCCTGTAAACAACATATTGTAGGATTATGGTTTTTAATCCATTCTGCAATCCATTTCCATTTTATGGGAGAGTTCATCCCATTCACATTCACAGTTATGATTACTATCTGTGTCTTTTTCTCCATCCTTTTCCCCCATTTATGCTTTTCTTTCTCCTTTTTCCTTTCCCCCTTCACTAGTGTTTTGCTTTTGACCACACCTCCTTCAGTCCCTTCCCCTTTTATTATCCCTTTCCCTTTTCTTCCCCTTTAGTCTTACTGCTTCTTTCCTCTCTTCTTTCCCCCCTCCCTTTTCTTTCCCCTTTTCCCTCCTACTGCCTATAGGGCAAGTTAGATTTCTATACCTAACTGATTATTTTATGCCCTTCTTGAGCCAAATCTGATGAGAGTAAGGTTCAAACAATGCTCCCCCCCTTCTTTCCCTCTGCTGTAATAGGATTTTGTGTCTTTTCCTGTAATGTAATTTACCCTTGTCTGCCTCCTCCTTTCTCAGTACATTTTCTAAGATCAGATTGATTCACTTATTTGGATCCATTTAACCCACTTGATTAGATTTTTTTTTATCATTACATCAAAGTCAACTAATATCCACCCTCTTTATGTATACTCCTTTAACAAGGTGTAATAACAGTTCTCAAGGGTTGCAAGTCTCATATTCCCTTGTAGGGGTTTAAAAGCCCCCCCTTATTAACAACATATTGTATCCTTCTGTCCCATTTACCTTTTTAAGTCCTTCTTGAGTCCTGTACTTGAAGATCAAATTTTTTGTTGAGCTCTGGTCTTTTTATCAGGAAAGTTTGGAAGTCTCCTATTTCGTTGAATATCCACCTCCTCCCTTGAAAAATGATGCTCATTTTTGCTGGGTAATTGATCCTTGGCTGCATTCCAAGCTCCTTTGCCTTATGGAATATCATGTTCCATGCCCTATGGTCTTTTAATGTAGAAGCTGCAAGGTCCTGTGTAATCCTGACTGTGGTTCCATGATATTTAAATTCTTTCTTTCTGGCTGCTTGCAGCACCTTCTCTTTCATCTGGTAATTTTGGAATTTTGCTATTATATTCCTTGGCATTGTCAATTTGGGATCTCTTTCAGGTGGTGATTGGATTCTTTCTATGGTTATTTTCCCTTCTGGTTCTAGGACTTCTGGGCAGTTTTCCTTTATGATTTCCTGAAAGATACTGTCCAGGCTCTTTTTTTCATCATGATTTTCAGGTAGTCCAATAATTTTTAAATTGTCTCTCCTGAGTCGATTTTCCAGGTCGGTTGTTTTACTGATGAGGTATTTTACATTTTCATCTATTTTTTCATTTTTTTGTTTCTGTTTGACTGATTCTTGCTCTCTCATAGAGACATTAGTTTCCATTTGTCCAATTCTAGTTTTTAACAGATTGTTTTCTTCTGTTAGTTTTTGTACTTCCTTCTTCAACTGGCCAATTGTGTTTTTTAGGGACTTGTTTCTTCAGTGTACTCTTCTGTTAGTTTTTGTCCTTCCTTCTTCAATTGGCCAATTGTGTTTTTTAGGGACTTGGGCTTTCTTCAGTGTACTTTTTTCCAATTGGCCAATTGTATTTTTGAAGGACTCTTCTACCTCTCTCATTTGACTATTAAAATCCTTCTTGAGCTCTTCTAAGAAGGCTTTTTGGGCTTCAGACCAGTTCATATTCCCTTTTGTTGTTGCAGATGTGGGTTTGTTGACAATGTTGTCCTCTTCAGAATTTCTGTCTTGATCTTCACTCTTCTCATAATATGAATCTATGGTACGTTTCTTTTTACTCATGGTGTTTCTTTATTCCCTGGCCTTTAAAGAGATTGAGCTCTCCTGCTGGGGAACAGAGGGTACTGACCCAAGCTTCTTGTGTTGGGAGCCTAGGTCTTGGTCACTGGCTTTGTGTGCTGGGGCCTCTTATGCTGGCAATTGGAGGCTGTAGGTTTCTGGCAGCTTACCTCGTGTTGGGCTGGAATCAGCAAGGCTGGAACTTTCAGGCAATTCTAGGTTGCCTGCTTTTCCTTTCCTTTAGCTTTCTTCAGCTCCTTTTAGATGGGTGCTGCAGGGTGTTTATCTGCCTGGGGCCCCTGCAGTGTTGTCTCCCTCTTTCTGCTAATGCACTGGAGATTCCTTTGCGTGTGAGTGCCAGGCACCTGGTGGTTTTCTGAGCTGGTTTCCACCGGTTCCCCCCCTCCTCACTCACTGAGGCACTCGAGGTCCAGGTGTTGGTGTTTGCCTGCTCTACCACCTGGGCTTCAGGATTTCTTCACAATTGGAGGCTGCAGGGCTCCTACTCACCTGTTGTTGGGTTGGAATCAGCAAGGCCGGGGCTTTAGGAAGCCTTTAGCTTGTTTTCTTCACCTCCTTTCAGATGAATGCCGCAGGGTACTTATCCGCCTGGGGCCCCTTGTAGTTCTGCCTCCCTTATTTTTGCTGAGGCACTGGGAGACCCATTTGCTGGGCTGCTGTACTGCTGCTCCCCATCTTTCTTCTAGTTCAGGTGTTCCAGGGTTTTTTTTCTGGGGTGATATTTTCTGGGTTTTCAGAGGTTGACAGGGGAGAGTGAGAGCGACTACCTTTTCACTCCACCATATTGGCTCCCAGAAGCGGAAGTCCAAAAACTGTGGTGTTAACTGCAAACTTTTTTCTTATGTCAGATCTAGTTCCTCTTCTATACTTTTTTTCTTTTGTTTTGTTTTTTTTGCTAGGCAATGAGGTTAAGTGACTTGCCCAGGGTCACACAGCTAGTTAAGTGTCAAGTGTCTGAGGCCAAATTTGAACTCGGGTCCTCCCAACTCCAGGGTTGGTGCTCTATCCACTGCACCACCTAGCTGCCTCTCTCTTCTATACTTCTTAACAACCACTATTACTTCCTCAGATTAGGTAACTGAGACACTAATTCTAAAAATGTGGGATTCTCCACTGCTGTTTATGATTAAAATATATCAATAAAGAAATGTTGGCAGATGTGTTGCATTTGACATGCTAGGAATACATTCCATTTTTATTCCCTCCTAGCTTCTTTCAAGTATCAGCTCCAATGTCGCCTCCTAGATCACAACAACCTAGATCCCTCCAGGTGCTAGCCCCATTCTGAAAATTACTTTGTACTTACTTTGTGTATATCTTGTATTTACTTGTGTACAAGTTGTTTTCCCCAACAGAAGGTAAGCTTTTTGAGGTCAGGGTCTATTTTGCTTTGGTATTAGTATCCCCAGTGGCTGGAATGCAGTCGGCATTTAATAAAGGCTTGTTGAATGAACAAATCAACAACGCCCTCTGAGCTGATCTGTCTTAGCTAAATTTTACATGAAGCTCTCTGCAGGATCATTTTCTCAACTACTTTTCAAAGTGCTATAATGTGACACTGCCTAGTCTTTCATTCCCACCCTCCAGCCCCATAATATTTTGCAAGAGTTTGTTCTCTAAACTGAAATTGCCTTAGTTTCCCGCGTTTTGCATCTGATGTTTGCTGCCTAAGGCAGCTGTGGACTCTTTCAGCTTTTCATGTTTTGCATTGGTTAAACTTCTCTAAGAAATAGCATCTTAACTTTTATCCATCTTCCATTTTTTTTCAGAGGTGACAGCTTGTTTCAGTACAATGTCCTTTCATACCTTCCCATTTTTTTTTCTATTTTGGCAATTTTTTTTACCTTTGCTCTTATTAACAGCCTGCCAGACAGCCAAATCTGAAATAACTATTAAATTATTAACCAACTATATGCTACATAGTTGAAGAAAAAGGCAATTCGTATGTTGCTTTTTGGTGCTTACTACATCCAGCATCTTCAGATTTTAATCTTGAAAAGGAAGTATTCATATTATGCAAGCATAACACTTCAAAGTAGTCTATAAGCTTTTGGCTTCTTCCATTTCTTAGTCTGGAACCACACATATCAAATTAACAAAACCGCCATGAAAAGGCCATATACCAAACACACACAAAGTTAACAGAAAGGTGAAAACAAATGGTTTGAGCCGAATTCATTTGTTTAAAAATTTTTGACTTTTACAGTGAAAATCTGCTAAGAGGCTAACTAAGAGAGCTGAGGCAACTTGCACAATGTTACACAAGTAGCAAGTGACTGAAGGAGTAAAATGAATGTAGAATGTAAAATGAAAATGTAGAATGAAGGAGTGAAACCTGATTCCCAAGACTGTAGATACACTAACTACTACAGCTTCACCCATGAAAAAATAAAAGAAAAAAGCCAAAACTCACACGAGAACTTCTCCCAGTTTTGGGGGCCTTCTTACCCTACAACATCCCCCCACCCCCCTTCTCCTATGGGTAAGTTTCTTTTGGGTTCTCCATTTTAGGGAAGGACCTAAGCTGGCCGTCCTTCACACCTCTCTAGGCTCTGCTTCCAATTCTCCAGACTTTGCCTTTGTAACACCTTCCTCTCTCCTATCCCACCCTCCTTTTTTTCAGCTCCCAAGTGTGTTGCCTCCCTGAGCTAGAATGTAAGCTCCTTGGAGGCAGAGAATGGCTTTCTTTTTGCTTGTATTTGTATCCTTTATCCCTTAGCACAGTGCTTGGCACATAATAATAAATGCTTATTGCCTGCCTGCCAAACACAGTAGAACTTCAGACAAGGTTGGAACAAAATACAGAGAAAGTCCATGTCTTCCAAAGTCTTAAATTTGCTTTATCCTGATAAATGATAAAGAGTTTATGTAAGATGCTAGTCTTCATTGTATATGCTTAGTTGACTATTTATCTTTGTTGAATGTTATTTATCATAATTTTTAAAAAATCTGGGGTAAAGCAAACATGGAAACTAGAAGTTCACATAACAATCATATTCATTGGCACAGGGAATTATCAATATTTAAAGTATATTTTTAAATGATTCATTTTTTTCCTTAAATCAACTCAAAAAATCATTCACCTGTGATGTCTTCGTATCTCTGTACACTGTACTGCCATCCCAAATACAACTGCACCTGCAGGTATGACTTGTCCATATTCTTCACAATTACCATCTTTACCTTTAGGCTGAAAAGGTAAATAAAAATTTTAGTCTATTAATACACACTAGAACAAAGTATCATTAGTTTATCTTAAATTGTGAATACCTAATTTTATTACTCAAGATGAATACTGCAATGAATTCTCAATCTTTCATTAAACATTTTCAATCCAAATTGTACCAGTCTACCAATAAAACTTGGTCAAATTTTTTATAGAATGTACAATTTTGGGTTCATACTATTCTATTCATAACCTCTAGGACCTAGACTCTAGGTAATCATCATTTAAACTAAAGTCTCCATCTACAGCTCTGGCTGGGGACATGATACCCCTCCCAGCATAAGCTGATCATATCTAATCCTATCACCACGCTGCTAACTCCAATGCCACCACGTCCCTCAACCTCTTCTCCCCTCAGAATGGAGAGCTGAAGGGTAGAATACTAAATTCTGCTCAAAGCTGACCTTCGTAAAGGGCAGAAATTGGATACCAGATCACTCCACTTTGCATCTGCATCTCTGTCTGATTTCAACTCCAGGAAACAAAATGCCCCATGCTGGGTACCTTTTGGTGCTCCCCATCACCCTCTTTACCACTTTCCAACTTCCTTTTGTGTGCTGTCTTCCCCCATTAGATTGTAAGCTCCTCGAAATTGTCTTTCTTTTTCTTAATTTTAAGACCATATTGGAATTATATGATGTATATGTATACACACACAGTCAGAATGTTAGTTTATGCTTTGCAATAATAAAACTATTAACAAGTAACCAAGTCATTCTAATTTGCAATAACAAAGTCTCGGTCTTGTACAGAAAATAAAATTAAGCATATGAAGTAAATACTCATGCTTAGCAAAGTAAATGCTAATACTTAAAAGAGCACAGCACAAAGGTATAAGATTATCTTAACAACTAGATTTGCTGAAAATCTGAATATATATCTAATAACCTTCAAGAGTATGAGCTACAGGACAGCTACGTGAGGCAGTAGATAGAGCACCGACCCTGAAGTCAAGAGGACCTGAGTTCAAATCTGGCCTCAGACCAAACACTTCACACTTACCAGCTGTGTGACCCTGGGCAAGTCACTTAACCCCAATTGCCTTAAAAAAATGAGCTATAAGGGCCATAAATACTTTAATAAAACAACAAAAAACTAGATCAAAATGGTTAAAACGGAATGAAACAGAAATAAACCTCTCCCTCCAGTTGATAATTTCACTTTTTTTTTAATTATAAAGAATTTATCAGAAGCAGAAAGGATAGGATACTATTATATCAGATATATCTGAAACCATCAGTTGTCCTTTAAGGCCAAAGTGGGGAACTATAGATCCAAAACATTTTAGAACCTTAGTTTAATTTAATTTTGCTCTGGCCCAGAAAATCAATTTCTTTGAAGGCAATTTATTTTAGTTATCTCAGTCAAGACAAATCTTGAAACCTCTAAGAACAAAGAATAGTTGAATTAAACAGTGGCTAACCAACTAATTATACTTTCATAGGGTGGCAACCACACTCCGAAGACTATTGTTCATGTGACAAGAATAATTTTCTAGCAATTTAATATCCATTACAATATTCCCTGTCCCTCCCTTGTCTCTCTTAAGAGCTACCTATGTATGTTTTGCTTTCTCTCACTGTGGGTACAATGACTGTAGCATGTGGCTACAGGAACTCTTTATCCCCTTTCCTTTATCACTCTTCACATTCTTTCTCCCTCCTTTAATTAGTATAAATATGGAATCAAAGCATGCTTTGTAATATCTACATGTATTGGAAAATAATTTCATGTTCCTTGTTCATAATTTTAATATGAAGTTTGACTTTTTACATCTCTCTTCCCACTTCATCCTTCTGTCTAGCCCTACAAAAGAAAATTAAATATGCTGCTTTGCCTCTATGTGACCCTCATGGGAAGAAAGCTTCTCTCTACCTCCATCTGAAGATCATAGTTTGAGGCTACTGCTCATGTGATCAAGATTCTTGATCACACTTCCAGCAACCAAATACCAAGTCTAAACACCCTTAGCTGATAAATTCTAGAGGACATTATAATACTTTTTTTCTGTAATTTCAAAAGGGAAACAATATGGTTATTTCAACAAATGCATTTAAATAACTCCCTTCACACATACAAATGGATCTGAACAAAATTTTCTACCTTAACATCCTTCATGATAGAGAAAAAACAATCGCAAACAACGCAGAGACACTCTTTCCCTTGTGCAGAAACAAATTATTCTTGCCAAGGCCCAAACCACATAAAAGAGGTGAAGTTAAATGCATTTAAACTAGCCTCAATACTAGGAAATTGAGAGGATGTCCATCACTTGAGGAATGGCTGAACAAGTTGTGGTATATGAATGTAATGGAATACTATTGTGCTACAAGAAATGATGAACAGGCTGACTTCAGAAAAACCTGGAAAGACTTGTATGCTGAGTGAAGTGAGCAGAACCAAGAGAACATCGTACCCAATAACAGCCACATTGTGCGATGACCAATATTGACAGACTTAACCCTTCTCAGCAATACAAGGATCTAAGACATCTCCAAAGGCCTCATGTTGGAAAATGCTATCCACATCCAAAGAAAGAAGTATGGAGTTTGAATGCAGATCGAAGCATACTATTTGCTATTTTTTTTCTTCTGTTATTTTTTGTTTCCTCTTTCTGGTGGTTCCTCCTATTAGTTCTAATTCTTACTTACAACATCACTAATGTGAAAATATGTTTAAAAGGAATATATATGTATAGCTTGTATCAGATCGTGCGCTGTCTTGGGGAAGGAAGTGCGGAGGGAGGAGGAGAAAAATTTTCAACTGAAAAGCATATAGAAGTAATTGTTGATAACTTAAAATAAATTAATTTTTAAAAAAAACAAACCTAGTCTCAATACTTCTATATCTCTGAGATCTCACTGAGCACTTCCTCCAAAAGCACATCTCACAACCTAGCCATTGACCTACAGGAGCAGCTGTCAAACCTCTGGGTCTCAGTACTCCTTTACATTCTTAAAAATTATTGAGAATCCCTCTCCCCAAGAGCTCTTGTTTGTGTGGATTGTATCTATTTATATTTACTATATTTAAAATTAAAACATCTTAATGTTTTGTGAAAATAGTTTTCACCTTGCAGATGCCCTGAAAGGGTCTCAGAGACCCCTCCAGTTTCCCCAGACCACACTCTGGGAACCAATGATTCAGAGCATTAAAACTAACACCGAAAAAGTACCCACAACTCTTTAAAAACTGATGCAGAATACACAATGTACTAAAGTATAGGAATATCCTGCATAATATTGCTCTGACTGATGCTGTTTCATATCATTAACACATTATAATCAAACTCTATTTTGTTACAACTTTACTTGGTCAATCAACTAAGATGGCAATCAGATAGCTGTTGACTATCATTCCTATGTAAATTACCAAGTGATTGTGAATAATTAATGTTCCACATATGACATTGTTCCTATGAGACTAACTTCTCCCTGTTAATAGTTTTTTCCCTAATGTATTGCTCTTATAGATATATGTGTGTGTGTACATATATATATGTATATATACACATATATATAAAATGTATAAAACACATAATGAATCAAGGGCATAGGATATTATTTTTCTAGCTATTCCAAAACACAATGAAAGATAATGGTGTCATTAATATAACTAAACATGAATTAATGATTTTAAAAACATAATAAGTGTTCAGTCAATCAACAAGCATTTTATTAACTGCCTACTATGTGCCAGGCACTGTGAGAGACTCTGGAGACAAACAAAATGTTTTTAAATTACGGTGTTCCCTCATTCAAGTTTTTAGGATTAATTACTCAGTCTTACACAAGCTTTTTTTAAAATATGGAATCCCTACATTTATCTGTGTGCTTACATATGGATATACATGTAAAAAAAAATACATATAAAGATACACACATATATACAAATAAACACTTAAAATTGTATTTTGAAGTATCTATCCACTTTAAGTTTTAACATAACAATATGAACACAGTAAGAAAATGATAATTTGAATTTTAAATTAAATTTTAAAAAATTCTCACCATAAATTAGAAAAATCTAAACATTTACATACAAATACACACACATACATATAATATATATATACATATATATATATATATATATATATATGTTTGTGTAAGTAAATCATTTCTAACCTATTCAAGAATTTTCATGCTGCTTACCTTTGGTTGCAAAAGTAAATGTTCCCATGCATGAATCAAGCTCTCCACAATTCCTTCTCCAAACAAACCTGCATCGACAGTTTCTGTTACAACTAGGGAAACTCTATAGAATGATTTTTTAAAGATATATGTAAGTTTTTTAAATGATACATTTAAAAACATGTGTACTTATCTGTCTTAAATTAAGTACCATTACTGCTACAAATTAAGAATGAATTTCTTTGTTTAAAAACTGTATAATTTTTTATATAATTAAAGCACTTAAAAACTTCTCTAAAGTTCAGTTAAATCCTTTAAAATATGATCCCAAAATTGCATTAGCGACATAGAATGTGTGCCCCATTCCAAAATAAGCTGATAGTGTAATCACCACCCATTTTCCCATGTAATTATCCAATTTAATAGTATAACTTGAAGAAATCACATTGACATTATTATTATACTGACCAGAATTTCTTAAATTCTTGAGAAATGTGATAAGTTGTATTCCTAGATACACATTTTTCTGAAACTCAGAATAATCATGATAGCTATTTATAACAGCACTTTAAAATTTATAAAGCAACAACAATTCTGTGAGGTAGGTAATGACATTTTTATTATTCCATTTTATAAATGAAACTGGCTCAAAAAGGGTGACAGTCATACAGTCAGTAATGGCCAGTGCTAAGATTCAAATAAATATATTTATATTTACAGATGTACATGTTGTTTCCCCCAATAGAATAAAAGTTCTTTCAGAGCCAGGGTCATTACATGTTTTATCCTCATATCTCCAGTACCTGGGCACTGGGTCTAACACACAGAAGACACTTAAATAAATGTTTGTTGGTTGACTCAATGGTTTTGTTGTACCTTTCCAATCTTACTTTACATTATCCTCCTTGGTATACACTAAAATATAGCCCCACTGGCTTTCATTCTGTTCCTCATGCTAGCACCAGTAATCGTAACCCCTGCCTCTCAGAGGCTCATTCAAGGTTTGGCTCTAGCACCACCTTCTAAACAAGCATTTCATAGGATATTGGGCTATTGAGTATTGAAGTGTTTATAACAAGTATTTATAAAAATGCTACTTGAAAATAGTTGCAGCTTATGTACCCATATTTGCTGCAGAGAATGAAGAGTTAGAAAAATCTATGCAGAAATTGCAAAGGCCTTCCAAATTAAATCAACATATACTATGACATTCAGTTACTTTATTGCAAAGGTAGGAATAGGTTAAAGATTATAAGAAAGATACTGGAAAACATAGGACAAGAATTGGGGATGAAAGAGGGAGCCATTCCACAACTGATAGTGGTCAAAGGACATGACAGGAAGTTTTAAAAGAAACAGAGCTATCACTAGCCACATGAATTACCCCCGTCCCCCCACCCCGCCCCATTCACTAATAATTACAGAAATGCAAATCAAAGCAATTCTAAGGTTCCACCTCACATTCTCAGATTGGCAATGATGTCAAAATTGGAAAATTAGAAATGTTGGAGAAGCTGTGGGAAAACAGGCACATTAATGCACTTTTACATAGCCATTCAGGAAAGCAATCTGGAACTACATCTCCAAATCACTAAACTACGCATACCCTTCAGCCTAGTGATACCACTACTAGGCCTATAGTCCAAAGAGATCAAAGAGAAAAAAGACACATACATACAGAGAGACACAGACACAGACACACAGACACACAGACACACAGACACACACACACAGAGCAGCTATTTTATTAGTAAGAAAAAATTGAAATTAAGGAGATGCCTATCGATCAAGAAATAGTCCCACCCTGATCAACAAGTTGCTCATACATCTGTCATTTCAAGTGACCTGTAAGAACACAGGGCTAGAAGTGGAAAAGACCTTAGAGGGTACAGGATCCAACACTCTCATTTTACAGAAGAGGAAACTGAGGGAAAAAGCAGTTAAATGACTTGCCCAGTCACACAGCTAGTGACTAAGGTTAGATCTGAACTCAGGTCTCCCTGATTCCAGGTCTGGTGCCCTATCTACTACACCAGTGGTTTTCAAACTTTTTGGTTTCAGGACTTGTTCAGACTCTTAAAAATTACTGAAGACCTATTCCCACTCCCAAAGAGCTTTTGTTTATATCGATTACAGCTATCGACATTTACCATATTGGAAATTAAAATGTCTTTATATTGTTATGGAAACTGTTTTGACCTCAAAGACCCCCAAAAAGGGAATCCAGGAGCTTCAGGTATCCCCAGGCCACTCTTTGACAACTTCTGCACTGCATCATGTTACCTCTCATGTCTGTAGACTTTTTCAAAAGAACATTAAAAGAGAAAGGCAACTAGGTGGCACAGTGGAAAGGAAGACTCATCTTCCTGAGTTCAAAGCTGGTTTCAGACATTAACTGGCTATGTAACCCTGGGCAAGTCACTCAACCTATTTGCCTTAGTTTCCTCATCTTTAAAAGGAGTGGGGAAGAAAACAGCAAACCACTCTAGTATCTTTACCAAGAAACCCCCAAATTGGGTCACTAGGAGTTGGACACTACTGGACAACAACAACAAAAAGCAAAACAATATACACACACACACAGAGGGAATGATTAAGGATCTGAGAGGAAACATGATCTAGTGGAGACAGGGACCATCTTAAAGACCTGGGTTTAAGTCCTGCCTCTGACACATACAAGCTGAGTGACCATATGTAAGTCCTTTAAGCGTTCCAGCATACTCATACATATGAGTTGATCTGAATTACTGGTGGAGGCAATTTTCAAACCAGGAATTATCTCAATAGAAATTTTGTACATGTTTTGCACATATGTACACAAGAACAACAGAATTAAGCTCCTTGAAGGCAAGGGCTGTTTCCTAATTGTTTTTGTCTCCCCAGCACCAAGCCCAATTCCTGGTATGTACCAGACACTAAAAATATTTTCACAAGTTAACTTTTAAAAATCAGATAGTAACTTACAAGGGGGTATAGAACACACATGACAATACCTCTCAGGAATGTGCTTAGGAACTTCTATATCCAGAGACTTCATATGTAATAGTTTGATCCCTGTTTCCATCTTGTTTGCTGCCATTACGTCATGAGAAAGCTCATACATGGTCTTGGAGAGCTCACAAGCATAGACCCGGTGTGCACCGGCACTTTTAGCAAACATGCTGTAGGGGGAAAAAATCCATCAGAAAAAAAAAATCAAGCAACAAAAATTCCTGTTTACTTTTCAAAATAAGGGAGTTACACTACTTAAGAAGAGGACATGACTGCTTCTCCTTAAATTTAGGCTTACTTTATAAACTTGGCTTTATTTTGTACTTTTTAAATTAACATAATTAAAATCTCTGGCCATCAATGCTAACAATTAACCAGTTCAGTTTGAAACCACGAAAGTTAGGACAACTATATATCAGAGATAATAACCAGATAACACAAAAGAAATGTCCTTAAGGTGATAATTCCAAAATTCCAAAGCAGTTATAACAACAGCATTTTTCTAATAAAAAAAACAGATCTCATTCTTGATTGAACATGAAGTTGAAAAGATAATAAGAATCTACACGTATTATTGCAATGATAACAAACCTTAGTATTCCAGTTCCTGCTCCAATATCCAGAACAGTTTTGCATCCCAAGCGAACAACCTTCTGGATTGCTGAATGGTAAGTCATATTCCTCTTAATGTCATTAAGCATGATAAAGTGCCAGCGTTCCACCAGCCAGTTTGCAACACGGTAAAAATTTTCCTTTGCATCACTGTAGTCAGGATTTAGCTTTACTGCTTTGTGGAAATAGCCAGCTGCTTCATCTCTAAAGCCCATTCTACCAACAACAACAACAAAAAAACTATGAACAGAAAGTATTTAGTTATCTGCTTTTAGCTCTACAGCCATCTCCCTCTCTGTACCTGGAAAGCCCCGTCCACTCCATTCTAAATCTTACCCTTCAAGGCCCACCTCCTTCATGAAACTTTCCCTGACTACTACAAGCCCTAGCAACCCATCCCTTTGCTAATTCTTCTAACTATATTTAAACTTACACCAAATGATTTAAATTAGATTTTATATTGTTATTTATTGCTATTTCACATGTTTATCTTGTCTCCACAAGTAGTTAGTTATTAATATCAGGGGCCACATTATGGCCTCTCATGTTATCCTCAGTACCCAAGCACAATTCTAAGAACACAGTATCATACAAATGAGTAATCAATACTCACTAATTGATAAGGCAGTCGATATGAATAAATAACACCCCCAAACAACCATGATTAGCCTGCTGAATTGGAAATGATCCCCCTTCTCAATAATTCCACATCTCTGCTTCAGTTAACCTTAGTAAATAAAGTAACCAAATCAACAGTCAGTTTTCCGATGTAGCTGCAAAGCTGATTTGGGAAAAAAAAAAGGAACCTACATCAGAGCTGTAAAAACCAACATTAAGTTTACAGTCAACTACAGTAGTATAGCTTTGGGGGGAGGGAAAATTTATTAAATTGTGCCACAGAATTATGGAACTTTAAGCAGAACTAGAAGAGGCCTTAGAGATCACATACATGGTCCAGGGGGATTCTTAACCTGGGGTCGATAAACTTGAAAAAAAAATTTTCATAATTATTTCAATATATTTGGTTTCTCTCTTAATACTATGAATTTCATTGTATGCATTTAAAAACACTGTTCTGAGCAGTCATTCAACAGACTGCCAAAAAGAATCCATGCCACACAAAAAGGTCAAGAAACCCTAATGTAGTCCAATGTCTTCTTTTACAGAAAATGACACTGACGTTCAGAAAAGTCACAATGATTTATTCATGTAGTACAACAGTGTCTAACATCCAGGTTTTCTGCCTCCAAGTACAGGAGAATGCCACAGACGCTTCTTTTTAAACTAAATCCATCCAAACTCCGCTTGACAACTAGAGACATCCTTTAGATAATACTACTACTTACATGTGAGTAAATGAAATATTTCTAAACTGTCTTAAAATGCATTTCCCTTCATTTTTTTTTGTACTATTAACTTCCTGGCTTAACAAATTCTTTTCTCCAGAAAGAAGGTAAAGCAAACTTCAGCCAAGATCATCATCAATTACTACAAATTCTAAATTAGTGAAGCATAAATAATGGATTTTTTGAAAAAACAAAACAAAACAACAACCAAAAAAAAAACTGAGCCACCACTTTAATTTTTATGGTGTCTGTAACAGTTCATACTAACAAAAAGTGACCCACTGGGAGTCTGTGCTTCTAGCTTTCAAAGATCAATTGATCTTGGAATTTAATAGCCAGAATCATGTGATTATACCACCATTACATGTTTACAATCTAGAATATGTTTAAAACAAACTTTAAATAAAGTCAGAAGGGCAAAAATATAATTTTAAATGAATTTAAAATGAATCCAACTTATTTAAATTATAAATAATTCAGTCTCATTTAAATGGAAAACTATTCCAACAGCTATAGGGGAAGATACTGTTTATTGGTGCATATATTATTTACTCAGTCCTTATTTCTGCCAACAATGTACATTTTTACTTAATGGTTTGTTCCTAATAAGAGAGCTCACTCAGCGTTCTTATCCCTTTGTACCCTGCTCCCAATCTTTGTGTTCTCTCTACCCTAAGAAGGAAGTACTCTCTAACAATCCCTCTCCCACTCTACTCCCAAAATAACCAAACATCAACACGTTTTGTCAAACCTGTCCATTTTAAGAGCATCTTAAACTGCACCTCAACAGTTGTATATGTAGGTCAACAGGAAGAACGCTGGCCTAGGAATCCAAAGCAAGCCATGTGACTTCACTAAACAATTCAACTACCTAAACCTAAACAGTTTTTTCAGCTGTAACATGAGGGTCTTCATCTAAAGGATTATTATTAAGGTCCCTTCAAGGTCTAAGAGTCTACGATTTTAACATTCACTTAAAAAAAGATTTTCTACAAATGTTAAATAGAAAAGAAGTCCAGAAAGGATCACAGAAAAAAAGGATAATTTTGCCACTATTCTACTAAAGTCAATATACGCATCCTTCAGCGTTTCAATCAGTATTTATAAAGCATCTACTTTGAGCCAGGAATTGTGGTAAGCCCTGGGGGTACAAAAAGAGATTTGTTTTAATAACTTGTTAATAGAAATTTAGTTACATGCAATAATTACTAACAATTTTTTTCCTATTTGTTTTAATTCTTATTTACTTTTGCTTGGTTCCTGTTCATATATTTGAATGCTTAATCCTGGCAATGAAAGTTAAAATAACTCATTCTTAATATAAAAAGATTTATTCTCATACCTTAACATATCTGACTAAATAATGTAGATTCTACTTTTTGAAGCTATAATTTTAAAGTCAGTAATCATTTTATATATATTTTGGTAGTTACATCAGAAAACAGTAATAGATTTTATGTTAACTACAAATATCTGCAAATTATAATACAAAATAACTCATAACAATGGGTAGAAGTATTCTTAATACTATGGGCAATTTGATAGAACTTGGAATTAGCTTTCTTTTCTAGATCAGGAATTATACTGACAGTCATTAAAGAAGGATGACTTCATTTCATTAATTTTGGCTGCATTTACTAGAATAGCAATAGAAAGTATATATGACTTTAAAAATTAAAGATAAAATTTCGGTTTATTTTTTTCTAAGCTAGTAGTTGTTCTAAGGGAAAATAGATATAGGAAAAATAGATAATTATCAGAGAAAATATACTATAAAAATAAGGAAGCATTTTTATTTTGAAAAATACTTTTATAATAAATAAAAATTATTTTGTATCATATGAGCATTTCTATTTAAAATCTTTTTACCATTCCATCAATTAATATTTATTAGGTATTAATATACTGACATTAGTAAATTTGGGTTATAAGGATTTACTTACATGCAAGTATATGCAAAATATCCTCCTACTGCTAATGAACAAAAAACTAACTTTTTCTCTCATGTGGAATGGAAAAACTCCCATTCAACCCATAAAACCCAAGTATCAGCCTGACAGAAATAATGTTCTTCTTGGCCAAGGAAAAAAGGTCATTTCCCCATAAAGAAACATTAGTTATTAATGTAAATTTTTTTCCCTTCAGAATAAACTGTTCAATTTACTTAACATTTCAACAGTGATAAAGCTTCCACATTCTCAACTACAACTACCATCTTTAACCCTAATCCAACTATGTGTCACTTTCTAGTCAAATAACTTAGCTCCTTCCTACCTTCCCAGTATTCTCACACTCAATTCCTCTCTACAAATTTCCATGATCCAGTGAAATCTGCCTGCTTGCTATTTACTTAACAAGACACTCCATCTCTGGATTCCATGCATTATTAATGGCAATCTTCCATACCATGCTCTCCTCTGCCTTCTTTCAAGTCTCAGTTAAAAGTCCACCTTCTGCAAGAACCCTTTCCTAATCCTCCTTAATGCTAGTGGTTTCCTGCTATCCAGTACTCTGTATATTTCCCTATCTATTTTATATGTACATAGTTGTTTGCCATGTTGTCTCTCCTGATTAGACTCTGAGCTTCTTGAAGGAAAGAGCTATTCTATATCCCCAGTAGTTAGCACAGGGCCTGGCACGTAGTAAGTGCATAATGTTTCTTCACTGAACAGCAGAAACAAACCTAAAACATAAACCCGCATTATAGATAATAAAAGAAAGGAGAACAGAATTATTCTCCACAATGGAAACAGAACCATAACTGTGCCATGCAAGGACTCTGTGTTCAAACAGCATAACATTAATCCCAAAGCACACACACACACACACACACACACACACACACACAGGGAGGGGGCAAGGTAAATAAGATTCAAGAAAAAAAACCCTAAAAGTAAAAGGTAAAAATACAACACAGTTTAGGGGGCCTCATTTTAAAAAGAAAAAGAAGACACATCTTAACAAGCTGCTGTTGTTCAGTTGTTTTCAGTCTTGTCGGACTCTTCATGATCCCATTTGGGGTTTTCTTGGCAAAGATACTGGAGTGGTTTGCCATTTCCTTCTCTAACTCATTTTACAGATGAGGAAACTGAGGCAAACAAGGTTAAATGACTCACCCAGCATAATACAGCTACTTAGTGTCTGAGGCTATATTTGAATTCTGAAAACTGAGTATTCCTGAATTCAGGCCAATCACTCTATCTACTACCCTACCAAGTAGAGTTATCCAAAAATAGCATGTGCTTCCTGGAGGGATAGAGGAAGGTTCCCCTTCCTCAGAAGTCTTCAAGCACGGTGGGGTAAGTTACAAAGGCAATTCCATCATATGGGTTGGACTACATGGGGGCTGTGATTCCTTCCTATTCTAGTTGTGTGATTTTGGGGAATGTAATCTCTGGGTTCTCATCCCTCCTCCATTCCCCACCAAAAGAATCAAGCAATTAACTTCCCACACTTCCATGTCCCCATGTACTCTCAAATATTTCAAATTCAAAAGTAGTAAGTTAACCTTTTTTTTCCCTAACTCCTGGACCAAAAGTTAAAGGTCTCAGTAAAACCACAAATGGAAAAACAGGCATCACTATGCTGTACCCAAAGCATTCTCTTTTTCAGTTGTTTTGACATTAATAATTTAATACAACTTCCATATATCTGAACAAAGCCACGCTTTTGAGATGACAAACCTGAACAGATGTTCCCCTATACTGTTACAAATCACTTCATCATCTGGAAAAAGTTCCAAGGCCTGTTCATAGCAACCAAATAAGTCCTGTACTCGATTCAGAGAATCCAGTTCTTCCGCCCACTTGAGGAGGGTATACTGAAAGGTTTCCTTTTCAAAAGAGGAAAAATATTCATCAGTAAAATAAAAACCATGCATAGTGTCAAATCTAGGATTTCAGGGAATTCAAATATATTTAATGAAAGCACCACCTTAAAATTGCACTCCCTCAAAAAGCTTCTTACAACTAAATGGAAATATGATTCAGTTCTCTAACTACAGTTATGAGTGTACACCCCACATAGATTACAACAGAAACAGGAAAATTGCAGAGATGCAAGTGTCACATATCTATCCACAGATTTAGAGCTCAAAGAAACTGTGAAGGCCATCTAATCCAACCCCCTCATTTTACAGAAGAGGAATTAAGCCTCAGAGGGAGTAAGTGACTACCCAAGGTCACACAGGTAGTAAAATAATAGTATCAGAATTTGTTACTGCTAAATACCAAACATAAATATTAACTACTGTCTGCACTGAAAAGACTATTTTAAATAATTTTGTTATTCCGTACTTTGCGAAAAAACAGTATCACTTGCCCCACCTAACCTCTCTGAAATTTAAAAAATAACAAATCCTCTCTTGTTTGAAATAAGCATATTCAGGCAAAATAAATCTACACATTGGACATGACTCAAATTGTCTATCTTATTCTGCATGTAATGTCCACCACTTCTCTTTCAAAAGGCAAGTAGCCTGCACCACCATCAGTCCTCCAGGATAGGGTTGTTACTGATCAGTGTTCTTAAACCTTTCAAAGTAGTTTTTCTTTACAACATTAAGAATGACTGTATAAATTACTTTCCTAGTTCTGTTCATGTAACTCTGCATTGGCTTATATCAGTCTTCCAGTGTTTCTCAAATCCATCCCTTCTATAATTTCTTATACTAAAAGTAATATTCCATTATATTCATATACTATAATTTGTTTAGTCACTCAATTCATGGGCAATTCTTTATTTTCCAGTGAAGACTACCATATTAATGAATCAGCATTCCATTTTTTTATGCTTCAGCTGTCTTCACATAATCATTTGTATTTCAAGACACAGAAAATGACTTTGCATGTTTGGTATTTATCTGTGTATGTGTTTTCCCCAGGCAAAATGTAATCAACTTGAGAAAAGGGCCTTTCATTTTTGTATGTGTACCTCTATTACCCGGCACATAGTAGGCACTTAAAACATGCTTGTTGAATTGAACTGAAAGCTCTACCCTGTGCCTTATCACAGCATACAAATTCTAGAAGGCTAAGCCAACAGAGCTCAAAAGATCTTCCCAGATGGAAAAGCTTTCAGGGCAGACCTAGTAAAGTATTGTGTACCTCATCTTAGGACCAACCTAGCTAACTTGCAAGGGCCTTCCCTGGAGATTGGGGACCATACGGTGAAAGTTTCCTGCCACAAGTCAGGGTAAGGTATGAAGTGCCCACACCATGGAGATGACAGATCTGTTTAATTACTAAAGAAGTGTTAAATGTTTTTAATCTAGAGTAAACCTTACTTAGAACTTTAAACTGTATGTCATACAAAGACATTTGCTTTTACATTCATGATGATGCACCAAATCTATTCTTAGGGAGAAATTTCTCAGCGTTTTTACCATGCTTTGTCTATCTACTCAAGGTGAATTTTTCACTGTAGACGTGGGGGAAAAAAATGAACATGTATTTATCTTATTAGAGCTTATTAATTGGATTTTTTTTTTGGCTTTTGTTAAAGTATGAAGTAGGTGACAGCTCTTTGATGTGAATTCTCACAAAAATAGTTTATAAGGCAGATACATACTTTGCTTACTTGTCAGCTATTTTTAGCTGTTAGCTATTGTAGCACCTGCAATATAGCACGTACAATATAACTGTGCTAATATACTTTTTTTTAAAATAAGCATCTTATAGTAGATGACAGTCTTGGCTTTAAGTCTTGCCTCAGATACACATTGGCTGTGTTAATGGTCATCTGTGTTTTATATCCCTAATAGACTTAAACTTCATAAGGGAAAGAACTGTTTTTGTACAAGACTGAAGTGGGTATGACAAGTATAGGAGTCTATACAAAGATAACTGGGGGAGAGGGTGTGTAGATGAGGGCGACCACTCCAGTAAAGGCAAAGTGGGAGGTGTAGCTAGTAGCTAATAGAGTAATTTAAGTGGAACTATTATGGGAGCGCTGTTTCTGAGCTGAGAAGGACCTTGGATTGTCTAATACAATCCTCTAAGGAAATTGAGGGCCAGGGACGTGACATGACCTGTCCAAGGTCCCAGAGCTGGGATCTGCACACCTAGACATGACTTTAAAGCCACTAAGTCTGAGAACTCCAGTTCAATTTGCCACTTGCTTCGGGCACACCACCTCGGCGTCTCCTCAGTCCCCCCGCAAACGGAGAGGGCCGCACTCGAGAGCCCCGAAGGTCTGAAAGCTCCCCGAGGGCAGGAAGCAGCGCCCGCCCGCAGCCCCGCAGCCCCGCAGCCCGGGCCGCAGGGAGGGCACGGGAAGCGCGGCGAGCACGCTGGACGGCGCGGAGCGGCCGACCCGACGCTCACCTTGACGTCGTCCCGCAGCTCGGGCGCCAGGCTGAGCACCAGCAGGTAGTGCGCGTAGGCCGTGCCGAAGTCCCGGCCGGCCACGCAGTGCTGCGCGCTCTGCAGCGAGCGGGACACCAGCTCGGCCCTGCCGGCCTCCTGCCCGCCCCGGGCCCGGCCCCCGCCCCGCGAGCGTGGCATGCTAGGAATCCGACGGAGACGAGAAAGTCGAGGTCAAGGTCAAGGCCGTTCTGGTCCTCCGCGGAGACTTTCCGATTTCCGGGTGGGGCAGCTGGCCCTTCTCCAGCCCAGAAGAAAGGTACACCGCGAGCGAAGCAAGAAAAACGGAAAACACAAAAACGAGGAACTTCCGGCGTCTGCGCCAACGTCCACCCCTCTGACGTAACACGCACTGTACGCTCTCACGGCTCGGAGGGGGCGTGCGGTGCTTCCCAGCTTCGCTCCCGCTTGTCAAGTAGCCAACGTCTTCAGGAGGGCCGCGCTTGCGTGTTGCGCATGCCTCCTCCACGGCCACTCTGCCCCGCTCTCCTCTACTTCCAGTGCGCAGACTCCGCTCAAGAGTCTGGCAGATTTCTTGAGCCTTTTCCTCCTTCCTCTGACCCTCATCTTTTACTGGCCTAGGAACCTCTTCAGTGCGCATGCTTCCCTCAAGTGCTTAGATGTGGCACGTGCCTCTCCCTCCTTACCCCGCCCCTCTACCTTTACTGGTCTAGAAGTCCCCGACGTTGGAGGGAAAGTGGCACGCGGCCTTGGGCTTCTTTTGAGGTGCTAATAGGGCGTGAATATGTATGTGGATATGTCTTTAAAGGTCTTTTCAGTAAAGCCAGGAGAGGGTCAGGGACAGGACCCAAGCTCACACAGAGCTGGGATTGGAACCTGGGATGCTGAAGCCTGTCACTCTTGCCCCAGTGCTATGCTGCTGCTCTTAAAAGGATGTGCAAGAAAACACCGAGAGCAAAGGAGAAGAGAAAGATGATTGGTTAGAACAGAGGGCAGGAATGTTCTTATGGGTTCCAGAGAAATCTGATTGTAAAATTTTTATTTTCAGCATTTACACCTAGAAATTGAGAAAAAACTATATATCAGGGCATGATTTGCTTTGTCGTGTATCTGGGTTTAAAGTGATAAAGAAAATATTAATAATGGAAATTGAACTTAAAAGTATGTCAGGTGCATATTTTTCAGAGAGCTGGTAGTTAAACGTTTATTGGCATACAGCTGTAGAGACCCATCTGTGTGCGAAGGGGTCATTTATGTGCTAGGCATTGCCTCAGGAAAATTTTGCAAATTTGAGTTTGGGACCCGAAAGGAAAGGTCACTGGTTAAACAAAGTACAGTATATAACTAATGGACTACTCTTTTACTCTAAGAAATGATCAAGGAGACAGTTTCATAGGAACATGGGAAGACTTGTATAAACTGATGAAAAGTGAGCAGAAATAGGAGAGCACTTTATACATTATAAGGACAATTAAAAAAATTTGAGTTTCTGAAATTCTTAGCATATACCCTGAAGAGATCAAAGAAAGGTAAATGACAAATACTGAGAAAATATGCATAAAATATGTTTTTGGGATAACAAACAATTGGAAACAAAGTTGCCCATCAATAGGGGAATAGCTGAACAAGTTATGATATACAATTATGATGGAATGCTATTGTACTGTAAAAAATAATAAAGGAGATGGTTTCAGAGAAACCTGGGAAGACTTGTATAAACTGATGCAAAATGAAATGAGCAGAACCAGGAAAACAATGTATATAATAACAACATCATAAAGATAACTTTGAAAGATATAGGAACTCTAACTAATGCAATGACCTACCATGATTTCAGAAGACTTATGTTGAAACATGCTACATGACTGACACATTAATACACTGTTGATAGAGCTGTGAATTGATCTAACCATTCAGGAAAACAGTTTAGAACTATGCCCCAAAACTGTGTATGATGCCCAACAATGTGCTGGTATAGGGGAATTAACTTGACCTTTCTGTGATTCTATAACTGGAGACTTAAGAACTCTAATCAACATAATGATAGATCACAATTCCAGAGGACCCATGATGCTCGCCTTTTCTAGGTGATAGACTAATGGTACACGTTAAGAAATATTTTGGGACATGAACAATGCAGGAATCTGTTTTGTTTGCTGTCTATATTTGTTAAAAGGATTTTTGCTTTTTCTTTTTCTTATTGGAGGCAAGGGGAAATAGAGAGAGAGAGAGAGAGAGAGAGAGAGAGAGATCAGACTTTTAATTAAAAATACTTTTTAATTTTTAAAAAGGGAAAAACTAGATCCTGGGCTCAAGGAATTTACATTATAATGAGGCTATCACATGTAAATAATTAGGTAAACATGAGATGCATTGTAAAGGAAGGCAATCTGAGAGGGGAAAGGACTGGCAACTAGAAAAAATAGGAAAGACTTGTATAAAATGAGAATTGAGCTGGATCTTGAAGGAAACCAGTGGAACTAAGAAGAAGAGATGTAGGATCAGAATATTCTGAGTATGGCAGACAGCCAGTGCAGTTACAGAGAAAGGAGATAATGCATTATGGTCAGGGAATTGCGAACAGGCCACTGGGATCATAGAGGGATTAAAGAAGGGGTGGGGAACCCACATGTGGCCTTCTAGGTACTTGGGTTCAGCCTTCTGACTGAATCCAAATTTTATGGAACAAATCCTTATATTAAGGGGGATTTGTTCTGTGAAGTTTGGATTCAGTTAAAGGGTCACACTTGAGGCCCTAGAGGGCTACATGTGGCCTTGAGGCTGCAGGTTTCCCATCCTTGGATTAAGGTATAAGAAAACAGGTAGGAAGAGGCCAGGTGATAAAAAGCTTTAAATGTCAAAAAAAAAAATAGGGTTTATGTTGGGTTGTAGAAGTAACAGGGAGCCACTGGATATCATTAAGCAGGGATGACGCACAGGCACACCTATGCTTTAGAAAAATTGCCTTGATGTTTTGCATGCCTGCACATGTATAACCTTTATCAAATTGCTTGCCTTCTCAATAACAGGGGAGGGAAGAGAGAATGAGAAAGAATTTGGAACTCAAAATTGTAAAAAAAAAATGAAGGTTAAAAATTATTTTACATGTAATTGGGAAAAAAGTAAAAAGAAAAAAAATTACCTTGGCAGGTAGGTGGAGAATGGATTGGAGTGGAGAGAGACTTGGTTAAGGAGATTAATTAGAAGGCTATTAGAAGTCAAGACATGATGAGGATATATACAAGACATGTTATGAAGATTGAAATAACAAGATTTTGCAATGGACTGGGGTTATGGATGAGTGAGAGTGAGGAATCACCGAAGTGATGGAGGATGGTGATACTTGACTGCCCAGAGATGTCTGAGGATCAAAGGTCATATAATAAACACTTAATAAATGTTTACCATTTGAATGTGTGAAAAGTACTTTGAAGTATTTTTTTGAAGGCTGCCATACAAACATGGCTATACTTATGGTATTTATCTTAGTAAAATAATTTGTAATCATTCACTTTCTAGACATGATTAAGAGCAATTTAGTGTTAATAACCATGAATTTACCTTTTGGTCTGGATTTTTCAGCTAAGTAGTGGCAAGTAATAGTAACAAAAATATTAGCTCATCTTTCTCAGGCAGCTAGTTGAGGCAGTAGATAGATTATTAGACCTGGAGTCAGGAAAACTTGAGTTCAAAACTTTCCTCAGACACTTACTAGCTATGTGGCCCTAGGCAAGTCACTTAACTTTTGTCTGCCTCAGTTTCCTCTTCTGTAAAATGAGGATAATAATAGCACCTAGTTAACAGGGTATGGGGATTAAATGAGATAGCACACACAAAGCATTATGTAAAATCTAGCTATTATTAATATTACATTTCTATAGTGATTTAAGATTTACAAAGCATTTTCCAAACAAGACCTTAGTGAGATAGGTAGTAATTAGTAGGGTGTGAAAACGTATGGTGGGAGGAAGAGACCAAATTAGACTGCTCAAGTTCAAACTTTTCATCAGCTCAATATTTTTGTGCCAGCTGCCCTATTTCTTCCTTGCCTGGAGAAAACGAGATTATGTTGTTTACTTACTACTCCTCTGATATAAGAAGATGAGTATTCTCAAGGAAAATTGTGTTCACAACAATCAGAATTGACAGGAACAAAATGAGAGCACTGTAGTTTAAGCATCATGCAAGTGTAGGAGGCAGCCACATAAATGTAGTGCAGGAATTCAGGATAATTCAACCCTAAACTTGCAGTATTGCTAAGTAAAGGTTGAGGGTAATCCACACGACACTAGGGCTAGCTGCCAGACACATGAAGGGAGTTAAATGGAATCTATTTTAGATCATTCTTTTCCCCTCCCTGGATCCCTGCCTTGTTATGGCAGAGGTGCTTGATAGCTTAATGAAACGATGAGTTATGCCATTCAGGGTTACCCAAGATGGACAGGTCTTAGTGGAAAAGTTCTGACAAAGGTGATCCACTGGAGAAGGAAATGGCAAACCACTCCAGTATCTTTGCCAAGGAAGCCTCCATGGACAACACTAAACTGATTTTAAAAAAAAGAAGAGGTGACATTATAAGATGAGCCACTTAGGTCAGAAGGTATCCAATACACTACTGGTGAAGAGTGGAGGACAGCTACAAGTAGAGCCAGCACTAATGAAGCAGCTGGGCTAAAGCCAAAAGGAAGCCTATCTGTAGATACATCTGTCGATGCAAGGAAAGTTCACTGCTGGATGTGGTCAAACAGGAGATGGAAGGATTAAACATCAATATCTTGGGTGTCAGTGAACTTAAATGGATAGGAATGGGTGAATTTAATTCAGATGGTCATTACATATACAAGAATCCCTTAGAAGATATGGAGTAGTCCTCATAATCAATAAAAGGGTAAAAAAAAGCAATATTGTGGTACATTCTCAAAAATAACAAAAATGATATCTGTCCAAATCCCAGACAAACCATTCAGTATCCCAGTAATAGAAGTCTGTCCATCAACCGCTGATGCCCAAGAGGCCAAAGTCAATCAGTTGTATGAAGACCTACAGCATATTCTAGAAACAATACCAAAAAAAGATTTCACATTCATCATAGGGGATTGGAATGTTGAAGTAGGAAATCAGAAGATAATTGGAATCGCAGGCAAGTTTGGCCTTGGAGTACAAAATGAAGCAGGGCAGAGACTAATGAAGTTTTGTCAAGATAACACATGGACATCACCAAATGGTCAATATTGAAATCAGATTGATTATGAACTTTACAGTCGAAGGTGGAGAAGCTCTAAACAGTCAATTAAAACAAGACCTGAAGCTGAGTGTAGCTCAGATCATGTGC